GGGGGGGGAGATTTAAAAGTTAATACAGTAAAAATCCTCCAAAATTCTTCCAAAATATTCCAAAATGAGATGGTATGTAGCCTCGTAGGGGACTTCGTGTCCTAATTGCTGTATCACCTGGCAAATGCTTTGTCAAACAAATTTATTCCTCGGGCAAAGACACGTAATGTTGCCTGGAATGCAGTGACACGCAACGTCGAAGGACCTCGAAGTCATCACGACTACTAATAAAAACTCTATAGACCTGCTTGTACGGGCTTGTACGGTAGTAGGCAAAGAAAATAGGTGGTTTTCAGTTGGACTACAGTTGGAACAGTTATGAAAAATTTTCAGATTTCACATAAACGTGAAATCTTTTCCCCACATCGGGCCCAGATTTATTGACCTTTGTTTTATGTACATGTTGATATAAAAGTCATGTCACCACTGTCCGACCTTCGTCATCAAATTTAACTCTATCACGTCTACTACATTTAACAAGAATTTTCTTTTGCTAAAAAGCTTCAGAAAGTTCTTCCTTTTATCGATATTTCAAATATTCTACTTTACTGTGTATTATCATCTGGAGAAATTCAGGGGAAAAACACCGAACGTGACATTATCACGGGATCAGCTAGTGATTCTCACGTGCCAACACGACGGTTGGCCAATAATATAAACACATACCCTTTGAGTTCATGCGAGTGGATCATACTTTAGAAGTGAAAAGCGCAGTTAGTTATTCTGCTCTGAGGATCCGAAGAAAAACCCTGAAAAATCTAAAAGCTATTTTAAATCCTTCGATTTGAAGCAATCTTTTCATACAAACAAACAAGGAATCCATTAAGGTTTGTTATTTTTTGTTTTACGTTCTCTACTAGCTACATTTAGGTCCTAACTATAAGCTTTGAATATCGTCTTTCTCTCAACATTGTTAGTATTATTTTTCCATTTTATAAAGCTTACGTTTGTGAGATTTATTGTAGACCCACCAGAGTAAAAATAAGTCCACATTTTTCGAAATTAGTTTAAGATTCTGCTCGGTGTTTCGATATTTGATGCCTCGTTGCGTTACAATGTTTTGATAGTCAACTAGTCAACAGAATAAAGTCTACTTGTTTGAGGTCTTTTTAACAAGAAAGCTGTTATTTAGGCGATAGTTCAGAATAATAAGCTTATATTTTCTCATATACTTTTTTCACAGAGAAGACAAATAGCGAAAAGATGGTCAATACTGTTGCAAACACGAAGGCATCAGTCAAATCCGCCCCCAAAGCCGTTCAAGCTGTTGAATCAAACGGCGACGTAGGAAAGTCATCAAAGGAAATACACGAAGCCAAAGTCCAAGATACTGAAAAAGTCAGCTTCGAAGTGATGGGTATTCCCCAAATCACAACACTCGAAGGGTTTTTGGAAATGCACATTTGCTAAAGGACTTCCAAAAGTCTTCCATAAAAATTAGGAATGGAATGGAATGGATTCAGGAGTTCCGGACTTTCAAAATCTAGCAGTTGAAACATCAGAGACTATCAATCTGGATTTATGCACTGAACAAGGAAGATTTCCAATCACCTTTATTTGTAAATAGAAAGAAAAGTTTTATAAGACAATCAATTTTATTCCATGCAGGCTATTTCAGTCCAGCAATTATGCTCACATGATAGAATGCTTTATTTAACCACTCATAAAGATGGGCTTTTATTTTCTAAATTGTATAAAATTTATAATAGCAGATATCAGAGTTCCACTAGATTGCTTTCAAACAGTTGTTTCATTTAATTAGGTCAGACATTTCATTATATTGACCCAAATATATCGACCCCTTCACATTTCCCTTGGCCATCTTAAAAGGTAGCCTTGCCTTTGCATTTAAGTGAGAAGAATAGTGAGCTTGCAGTGATATAGATGTGAAGAAGGTCTCTATCATTGCAAGCTCACTTATCATTTCACTTCAATGCAAAGTCACAGCTACCTTTCAAGATGGCGCAGGGAACTGTGAAAGGGACTATTGTTTGAAGGCAATAGAGGATAACTCTAATATCTGCTTTCAAGATTGATATATAGAGAGAGAGAGTAGACCCTCCCTATAGGGGGAAGGGTTGCAAAGCAATTGTACATAGGCTAAAATATAAGTTATCTGTACAAACCCTTGTCATTCGTAAATAGTTCATAGTAAATAGTTAATTTTAGGAGTTGTATAGAATTAGAATAAATAAATAGTTAAATTTTAATTGTATTTGTTTCCCTTCCTGCTTTGCCACATCTCTTTCCCTTTTTTCTATTTTCTCTCCCCAACCCCTTCTCCTATTGAGGGCAAAACAATTGTCATCTCACAGGACCCGATTTAAGGGGGAGGGGTGGTGTTACCTGGTACCCACCACCTCTGGAAGTGAAATCTTAGATTTTGTCCCCAAATATCTCCAAAACTAAAAGCCAAATCACAGAAATGAATGGACTGTCTGTCTGAATGTATGCTAAAAACATATTTGTGTATAGAAATTGCCACTACAGACCCCCAGTATCGAGCATTTAAACAGGTCTCTGAGGGGGGAGGAGGTATATACCGGTACCCACCACCTTAATTCGTAAAATCGGGTCCCAATTTTGGACCATTGCTTTGACCTCTCCCCTAATATAACTTTCTCTTATTCGCCCGTTTCGAATCGAATTCCATTGGCGCTTATTTTGACCAGCAACGCGCCAATTACTAGTATAACTGCGGTAGATTGCATCTTGTTGAATTTATTTTTGTTTTTACGTCTTTAAACGTTAGTGTTTTCATTTTTTTAAACGATTTTATAACAGGATTAGCCGTGACAAGGCGCGCGTCTTTTGCTATAAGAATCACAGTGAGCCCGGCTGTACATGAACAAATAGATCAACAAAATACTCTGGGTTTCCTGTGTTGAAATTCGAAATTGTACTACCAGTAACTTGATAGCAAATTAACGTGACGTATTAGTGTAACGSACGCCTAACTCATACGTGGAAAGACCGAGACTGAACGTCTTATACACGCTTTTGTATCGTCAAAACTTGACCACTGTAATAGTATTCTTTATGGTCTTCCTGACTACCAAATCAAGAAACTACAGAGGATCCAAAATACTGCTGCAAGGATTGTCACAAGAACGAAAACTACTGAACACATCAGCCCAGTTCTACGAGAGCTCCACTGGCTACCGATTAAAGAGCGAATAATCTTCAAATTGTTGCTGATTACCTTCAAGGCTCTTCATGGTTCTGCTCCTGCTTATGTCTCCGCGCTCCTACAAGAACACAAGCCTGTACGCTCACTGAGATCATCTAAACAAAGCCTACTGTCTGTTCCTCGTACCTTCACTTCAAATTATGGCGACCGTGCTTTCTCAGTTGCTGGTCCTACACTATGGAACTCACTACCGGACACTATCAGGAAATCTGACAGCCTTCCCGAATTTAAGTCATTACTGAAAACTGTACTCTTTCAATCAGCCTACTTAATTTAAAACTTTTGAACCTGTTTGCTGGACTGAACTATTTATTATTTTTCGTTTTTATCTCCACAGCGCATTGAGGTAGCAGAATGCGCTATACAAGTACTGTTATTATTATTATTATACGTCACATTTGAATTTCAAGCTGCTCTCAAGTTACGTTTACGTTAATCTGCTAGTCTATCAAGTTACTGTTAATACGATTACCCTAAATTCGATATGTTATTAGCGTCTCAGGTTTCATATCTTAACACAAGAAACCTAGCCTGCGTGCAGCCGGACTTTTCTCTCAGTTAAAGGTCGGCTGCACGCAGGCTAACACGTATCCGGAATTTTTGTATACGCAAATTATTTTTGCGGATACGAAAATGTTTGCGTCCACATGCAGCGTATTCGAATCGTTTTCACCGTCCACACGTATCCGTTTTCGTAAAATTTGCGTATACGGACACCAAAATTTCCGGACACGTGTGGACTCAACCCGTATCCGTAAAAAAAAAAAAAATTGCGGATACAAAAATTTGCGGGTACGTGTGGGACGGGGACTAAAGAAACCCAGTTGTGTAACTGATTTTAATGAAATCTATATCAACTCATGAATATCAGTTACAGAACTCATGCATGAATATCAGTTACAGAATCATGAATATCAGTTTCAGAACTCATGAATATCAGTTACAGAATCATGAATATTAAAAGCTTTGAATTAGCCAATCAGTGTACTGCAATCAACACGTGAATATTACATCGGCCCCCGCACTCCCCTGGGAAATATTCAATGTCGCCCCCAACTTTAGATTGTTGACCCGTATTGGGATACACGCATGGCATCTTTAGAATTCTTTTTATTGAGTATTTGTTTCACTGGCCAAGTAAAACCACCGCCTCTATGTCACGGGATTAGTGACTTCTAGTGACCCTCTACCAGAAGGAGGGTATTTACTATTACAGGTATAGCTATAGCTATGTTCAGGTACTTTGACCGCCTTGTCGCCCTTCTTGTGAATAAAGACAGCACCTTTCTCAGGACAATACCTTGAAACTCCAAACAGATCTCTTTCTTTGACATAATAAATCTCTTTTATATCATCATGATCCTTTAAGCATTGCTCGTTCCAAAAGCACAATGATAGCGTAAAAATCCCAATATGGGTCTTGTCTTTGCAATCTGACTCGAGATTGTGGCCGATGTACAAAGATCCTCCAGGTTTGACGATTCGAAGCATTTCTTTCACAGCTTTGCATTGTTTCTCGGGACTTACGTAAGGAAAGGTGCCAAAAGTCATTGAATGATCATACGAAGCATCTTGGACGAAAGAGAGATCCTCAACTGTCCCTACTTTGAAGTTGTCCTTCATTTCAGGAAATATCTCTCTTGTAAACTTTATTGCCCCGGTACTGAGATCAAGACCGCCGGCTTTTACATTTTTGTAAGTTAGGTTAAAAGCCGAAAGAAATGCTCCACAGCCACAACCATTGTCAAAGATCGAGTGTCCGTCTTGAAAACCTAACTGTTCGCCAATCTTTTGAGTCCACTGTAAGTAATCTTCCATAGTGTAGCTTTTTCCCATGGCTAAACTCTTTCTTTTTTTGCAGTAAGTATCGACGTAACTTTCCCATTTGTAAGACAATAATTTATTCTGTATCCAGCTTCCAACGTATTGCCTTTCAAACCAGCTATTTTTTACAAGTTTAACCTTGCGAAACAAGGACGCTTCTTGTAAATCAATACGAATTTGAATTCCAACAAAGAGCACCAATAAGCCAACAATTATATTCAGCAATACGCACCTTTTTGTACAAAAGCATATTCGCTTTCCTATCCTTTCCCTCATGTAAGCCATGTTGCTTACTTTTGCATTATAAGCAATACAGACTTTGCACCATCACGTGATGGCAGCCGTGACAGGAGACACTACAATAGAGTCTTTTTCCTCTGGGAAACTTAATTCTATCTCGTGTAAATCAGAATATTCCTGATTCAACGTTCCAGCTACTATGCTCAGCGGTCTTCCGCCACACGAATATATAAACAGTGAGAAACTACGTTCTGTACCCAGTTGAGACGTATGTTCCTCTTCGGTAGCTTAATTTTACATGGCTAAACACGATCCAGAAGTACAAGTTCCGTACTCCCCGATGTCCCAGTGAATCTAATAGTTTTTATTTTTTTTATTTTTTATTTTATTTAGCATTTGCCTCACATCAAATCTTTAAAAAAATGAAAAATATAAACAAATTACAAGCAGATGAGAGGTAAGGGATACCGTCACAGGTTTCCCCAATTACGACCGTCCCTTGAATAATATGACATTAGATTATTGAACATTAACTTAATTACAGGAGAAAATTGTTTTTGCTAATGAGCTTCATTTGATGCAGACAGTCTACTGCAGTCATCAATGTTGTAGGTTTCTCGTAGAGCCGTATACAAACACAGCGTTCTAGTACTTTGCCAAGTATGGACAGGAGAGAAATTGGACGGTAGTTTTCAGCAAGTTCCTTTGAATCTTTTTTGTGTATAGCGCAGCGCGCTCATTCTAAAAATAGCTTAAAGATTCGGACAAACATTGCATTCTGTTTAACCGCTACGAGGATTATACGAACCGATTTTATTTTTTACACTTAAAGTTACAATAATAACCCATGTAAACTAAGGTCAACTGCGATCGGCTGTGAAAATTATCTGCTGAAAGTAAACTTGTAAGTTTGTTTGTCCGAATTTCGCCTTTGTCTTCGTTTTTATGACGTCACGGCTGCGCTGCGCTATTGGAGTGACATCAGCCAGTTTCCATTCCGAAGGGAGTTTTCCCAAGAGTAAAGAAAGATTAAACCTATTGCAGATGCTAGGTGCAAATTTGTGAATCATCACCAGCGACTGATGTAAAGGCTTTCAAGCTCCTTGCGTTCAGCAAAACCAGTAAAACACAAACCAAGACCCCCACCACCAGTACAAGGAGARCTTGTGGTAATATTCTTGTTTTACTTAATTTGTCGGGTTTTTTTTGATACTTGCCGAGTTTCGCTAATGTGCGTGGCAGGATTAGCTGTTTTATCAAGTTTTACGCTCAACTGTCCTTACGGTGGCAGTAATTTTCCCTTGGTTTGTACATTTTGTAGTTCTAATATTAATGTTTGCTAGTCAGTTGTTGGTCATAACCTTATGCTATATTTTGGTTGCCACTGTGCACTCCGTCACTTCTGGCTGATCGTCCAAAAATTTTGCCAGTTGTGTTTGGTCATAAACTCTTTGGCTCAGCGTTATTCATGGCTTTTTGTTAATGCATGTTTTTTGGTTTTGTTTTATTGTGCACTCTGTGGTTTTACTTTGTTCATACTTTTGGAACTGGTTTGCAACCCATCAATAGACACAAAAGAAAACAATGGAATTAAGGTCTACTAAAGTGTGTTAATCTAATATCTATTTCACGCTTTCACTCTAATGACTTCACTCTATCTTAACTGGTGAGTAAAAATATCCTTTAAATTTTGAACAATATCCCAGCAATAGAGTCTTCACTCTTATTTCAACTCCTGATATTTGAATGCGAGGGATCTGTGTTATTCTTGGTTTGGACGTTACGTTACCAATGTCTAGTGTGTTACACTCTCTTGGGATCGAATGGCTTGATGAGTCGAGATATACTTGTTTCCAGCAGAGCGGTGAATTTTGTTTTAGCCAATCACAGTGCGTTTAGCTGTTTTGCCGCCGGCTCTTATTCCCAGGCCACTGTAACCCAAATTTGGCGTATTTTTCCGTTTTTTTTTTTTTTTTTTTTTTTTGACTGAAATACAATATACATGCCTACAAGAAGCAGAAATATGGAAAGGAAAAATAAAAACAATTTCACTTACCGCCAGGTTTGCTTCTTTCTTTAAACGGGCTGGTTATTTTGTCTGATCATGCTTTGCGCGACGCGTTCACCTTCTGGTTTTCTTTTTTCTTTCTTTTTTTTTTTTCTTTTTTTTTTTTTTTTTTTGCGAGGAGTGGGGATTGGGGAAGAGGAGGGGAGGGGCAGAGAAAAGGAGTCTCGTACTAAAACCTTTGTGCGTGACCAGCGAAGAACTGATGTCGGAAGTGGCCTATTTCTAAATATTCTCTTGAGATCGTTTTTCAAGCAGTTCCATAAACTCGCAGCACGTGTCTTATCCGGCATCTATCACGTGAGCAGGTGTTAGCTAGCAGAGCTAGAAGCCCTTCGTCTCTCCAAGGGCACTAGGACACCGAATGTGGTTGGATTTCTATATTTTTTTCTTTCCCTTTCGATTATTTGAATTAAATTAACGTCATACTTGTTTATTTATCCCCGGCCGAGGCTCTATATGGAACTTAAGGTGAATTTGATTAACCATATTAACTCTGGACGGTTGAATATTACTGACGTAAGGAGCATCACGCGGTCGCGTTGTTGTTGGTATAGTACAAACAGAGTCAAGTACGGAACGGCCGTTAAAGAAGTAACGCTCATAGGCTATTCAAACCGTTTGACCTTTGGAATGAAAACGTCTGCATTATAACAGCGGACGAAGGAACACGGACACAAGATAAATAAACAAGTATAACGTTAAATTAATTCAAATAATCGAAAGGGAAAGAAAAAAAAAATAGAAATCCAACCACATTCGGTGTCCTAGTGCCCTTGGTCTCTCCAGTCACAGAGTTAAAATCCCCGCTATGGTATGTCCCGCTTATTGAAGTGCGCGTTTAGTAACTTTCATACAGAATATTGCCTTCTTTCACTAACATCGTTGGACTGCTTTATTTAATAAATCATTTGTTAGAGTGCACGCACTAAACCCGTGAATAATATTTAGTACTAATTAGTAGTAATTTATACAGAATCCTTTGTTTCCTATTGTTTGATCATCACTACTTAGTACTAAAAATTAGTATTTGTTTCACGGGTTTAGTGCGAACACTTTATATACTATATAACTACCAGTAGAAAAGGGTTAGAAAAGCAACTTTTTTTTTGGCTACAGTTGTGATGAAACACAATGACAAGCCGTTTGCACTACATCTCAAACACAAAATCCAAGGAGTTTTCAAGGACAAAAATTACGATTTTCAAGACCATTTTGTTTGTGAATTTTTTACTTAACAATTCATAGAGACAAAAAACATTATTTTAAAGACTTTATTTTAGCAATGACTCATATAAAGTCAGGGATTTCCAATACTAGTGAGGGGAAGAGGCCACTCCCTACCAAAAAAAATTATCCCTTCAAAACACATGCTGATTTCATATACCCAATGGAGAGGGAATTTAAAATTAGTCAGGATTTCCAATACTAGTGACAGGAAGAGGCCAATCCCTACCAAAAAATATCCCTCCATCCCCCTCTCTTCAAACACATGAAGTTGGCGAGGGAATTTGAATTAGTCAAGATTTCCGATACCAGCAAGGGGAAGAGGGCTACACCCTGCTACAACAAATCAACTCTCCATCCCTTCCCCCCCCCCCCCCCCCCCAAAAAAAACATGCAGATTTTATATACCCAAGGGGAAGGGAGGTCGTAGGGTCAAAGATTCTCTAGAACTCATTCTTGAAATACTCTACAATGTATATAACATAATACAGCTGTACATAAATGTTGAGTTTTTCTTTATGCTTTATATATTATTTGATCTACTAATTTAAAGCTTAATTCTATCATTCCTAAAATCTAATTCAGTCAATGAGTAGAACTAATAATAAATTAATAACAATAATAATAGCACTTGATGTTTCATTGTTTCCTTTACCCTATATTCTGAGGCTTTGCGCACTTACACTTTCAGTCCTCAAGACTCATTTACTCAGGGTTAACCTCATTTCGGTGTCAAAATATTCACAAATACCAATAGTATTTTTGACTGTTACTAAAAATAGACTTGTAAAGACTTGTGGGATAGAAATGAAGACAAACATTGCAAATAAAGGCATTGAATACATGGAAAAGAATGATTTCAGTTGAAAAACCAAAGTTCTTCCATGAATTGCAAACAACAAGACTTACAAAACAACAACGAGGGAGGGGGGTATGGATAATTTCTGGAACTACACATTATAATAATTCAGATAATACCTCTGTTAATTTGAAAATGTGAAATTTCATTTCTTTCTTATATAAATGATGTGTGTTGAAATGCACTGTATTTAAATTTAAACTATGAAACCATAAACTTTTGATTCATACAGGTATTAGCCCATTTAGCTTACTGGCAAGAATTCAAGAGATTGATGGATCGACAGATATTGTATTTGCAGGGCAAAATCATTCCATGGAGGCTGTAGGAAGGAGGATGAATGTCTCTCTTTCATAAGGTCAAAAAGATTAATTCCCAATTTTTAAAACAAATGATATCATTAAAAATCCCAAATTCCCTCAATAACCTACCCCAATAATTAAGGTGTTCCCTAATTGAATGAAAAAAAATATTGTTCCCAAACTTTTACACTCACATCTCACCCTTTCTCCCACCTCAAAGGAATAAGTCCCTCAAATCAGAAGTTTATGGCTCAAACTCAGGTTAGCTTTTAATTTTGGGCCAGAGCCACATCAATGCTAACGCTGCTGGAATAACAATACAGACGACAACTACTACTGCTACAAATCCCTTCCATCCTATGCCATAAACATTCCCTAAGTCTCTCTTTTCTGCCTGCATTTTTAGAGGACGTATACAAGTCACTGTAAGTGTTCTTGCAACTTCGTCCAGATTTGCTTTTCGCAGTGGAGTCCCTTTGCAAATCATTCTTAAATCTTCATCCATGCTTCGAAGGAAGCTATTAGGTGAATCCAAAGCAGAACGAATGCTTATTTTTCTGACACATTCATCATCATCATCATCATACCCATTTACTAATGTTCCATTCATTCCTGATGATGAGGGATCCAGGTTCAGTGGTTCTGGTTTGTGTTTCTTTTTTTCTTCGTCTTCTTGTGCTAGTATTCCATGTGGCTGAACTGGTATTCTGATTTTTTGTAGAGCATGAAAGTCTTGTTCGGAATATAAATTGTTTGCTCTTTTGATTTCCTCCATCTACAAAAAAAAAAAAAGAAAAAATGACTGTGACTACGCATACATGTACAGCAAATATAAGTTCACTTTAATATATAATCATTGATGAAATATCTATTTCTATATCTATTACTAAAAATAGATATATTCACATGACCTGAGAGTATGAACCTTGATTCATTTAGTGGATGAAGAGCCACTGTGGAAATGCCATTTTTATATTCCATTCATTTATTTGTGTTCACTTTTTTATTTACATATGAAGACTCATAGCTAATAAGCTGATCATGAGACACGATGAACTTTAGAGACACAACATGCTGGTTTTGAAAGCACTTTTATTATGTTTACGACTCAGAGCCTTGATCAAAATGACTGCCATTCATGCTATCTTGGGTTTTTGAACCTTGACAAACTTGACTGCATTTGATCACATTTACATGCAAATTTGCGCCATATAACGGCTGGACATCAAACAATGTCAGGCCGGAACTGGGACTTGTCCAGTCAAATCTTTGCCTTGTTGGTCATTTTCAGCAGTAACATTTAGTCAAAAATTATTAATAAACATGACTAAGCAAAAACTTATTTGGCCTGTGATTGGCCATTATTTTATAATAATATTGATCAAAATATTTAATTAATTATTATATTTAATCGATTAAAATGTTTTTTTAATATTAAAATATATTAAAATTAGATAAATTTAAAAAAATCAAGTGTTTAAAAACAAAATTAAGCAAAATTGAAAAAATAGTTCTTCAAAATCATTCAAAGCACAGCTTTTCTTTCCTAAACATTGCATAAAGCTATATAAAAACATGGTGCATACACCAAATAAAAAAACATTGCTGGATTGAAAAGGTTAAATCATTGTTGCTAAGACCAAAGGGTGTTCTAAGTTAATAGTTAATAATATGCATCTATTACCAGTATTGCAGCTCTCAAACATTGATATCTAACCTATATACTGTATATAACAAGCTATAACCTAACAAAGCTTCATGTATGTGCCTGTATGCAAACATATTCCAGACACCTAGGATATTGACTACCCAGAATACCCCTGGATCTTAATTTCAATGATTTAACCCTTTCAACCTGACAACGTTTTTAAATATGGCATATGCATAAATGTCTTGAATTCACCACGTTATTTGTACAGCTTTATGCACTGTTTATAAAAGAGCAGCTGTGCTTTTGAATTATTTTGAAGAACTATTTGTTTCATCAGGTTTTGGCAGTTTCACCAAAAGGCGCAGCTGAGCAAAAATAGACCTCATATGAGAGGGTGACTTTAAATTGATTCTAACTGTAAGCAGATAAAAACATAAAAGATAAAACATCTACTTTCAATAAATTGCGACAAAAGATTCTTAAGATGGCTTATAGAGGGCAAACCATGTATGTGTGAAATATTACTAATTATTAAACAAAATAGCACCAATGAAACATAATTGAAAACAAAAAAAAATAGATGTGTTTAGTGCAATTTAGTTTTTGTGCTATTTTACGGATATAATATTATGATTTGCACTCTAGTAAAGAAACAAAATAAAAAAATTTCAAAAGTACTCTGTAAGAGATGCTTCGACATTATCAAGTCAAAAAACTTACATATAAAGAATAATATAATTATATAAAAAAGCTGAATTCCTATGGGACTATTGTTTGTTTTTTGTCCAATAGGAATTCAGCTTAAAACTTTAAACAAAAATATAAGCTATCCTAAAAATAATGCACCTAAGTATTCATAATATTTTGCCGGAAGTCTAAAGCTAATATTTAACAAACAAATCATGTGCAGACCTGGACATTTTATATTTTTTTTAACAAAACATTAAAAAGGAAATAAAAATAACTTCATTCTAGGAAAATTTAGTGAGAAAAAACAGGTTTTATTAAGAAGTATTTTTTGTTCATAAATTTTCACTCAGCATTGAATATCACAGATTCCTTTAAAAACCTATTGGATTAATCTCTTCAACAAATCTAAAAAAATTACTAGTTTCTGTTTGGATTATTGGCTGTCAATTTTCTCTTACTCTGTTCCAAAAATTAATAGTCCCCTTCACAGTTCCCTGTGCCATCTTGAAAGGTAGCCATGCCTTTGCATCCAAGTGAGAAGGAGGGTGAGCTTGTAATGATAGAGACATTTTTTGACCACCTTGAAAAAATTTTAATGTGCCTCTATTATTGCAAGCTCACATGCTTGTTCCATCTCGCTTGGATGCAATTGGCATAGCTACCTTTCAAGATGGCACAGGGAATTGCGAAGGGGACTATTGTGCCAGGCAATTAATTTGAATTCATTTGAATGATACCCAAAACGTTTTGCCGATATTTCATATATTTTAAATACACATATTTTGTAGATATGTTATTAATATTAATAATAATAATAGAAAATACCACCTTGGCCCTCAAAGAATCAATGAAAAATACCACTTGTAATTGATGAAAGTGGCTTTTCAAATAAGAGTGGTATTTTCCATTAATTCTTTGAGGACTAATGTAAGGTGGTATATCCTATATATATAATATAATATTAATGCAATTCTAAAAATAGTATCATATTAAGGGCTTTTTGAAGTAGGAAGGTGTAGGATTTAAAGGGCCTCAAAAAATTTAATCCATAATATTTTTGCTCAATAGCAATTCCAACAAATAAATTGGAAGAAACATTCGAGATAAACATATAAACAAATTGAATACCTCTAGATCAGGTAATACTTCGAATTGTGAAAGTTTTAAAGATATTTTCAAAGTCTTATAACTTTGTACACGTATTGTTTACATATATTATCGATATTATTTCCAGAAACTCAAAATTACGAATTTACTAATATTATAATTCGTTAAATCTATAAACATCTACAATTACAAAATTCTCATTAGGTGAATAAGAATATTGGTTAGAGAAAAGGAAAATAACTCACCGTACAACCAAAATTGAGAGCAAATCTTTGTAAAGTATCGTTCGGTTTGACATCTTTCTCGATAATATGGCTTTTTTTGAGATCTAGTGAAGTTAAACTACTAGTGATTCCTCCTTTACCCCTGGATCGTACTTCTGATAACTCCAAAGCGTCATCATCCACTGATAAGTCCTCAGTTGAATCATTCCCAAAGATGTAAACTCTAGATGCCGATCTGTTCTGGATTTCTCCGAAGGACTCATGATCATTCTTATCGACTTTAAGCTTGGAATATTTTGAGTAACCCGTTCTTTTACTCATAATAGACTAATGTGAAGGCCAGCCTTGTTATTACATCGTAGATTTAAGGTGAAAGATACTGTTTAAATTATTGCGATTGAGAATCGTAAAAGAAAATCCAGGAGTATTAATTTCACAGATTCACATCTTGTTCGTCCGCCATCTTTATATAACACGTCAGTGTCAACCTACTCGGTATTAGGCTCTTCCGTTGACTCACGAAAATAATGGACCATGTAGGCCTGGGATCAACAAACAGCGAATTCTTTGTTGGTTTCTTTATCTTCTTTTTCTTCTTCTGTTATTTTCTTACTTTTTTATTTCGATGCTGTCCTTTCTTTTCTTTTCCTTCTTTCGTTTTTCTTTTCTTTTTTCTTTCTTTTCGCATTCTTTTCTCTCTCTCTCTCTCTCTCTCTCTCTCTCTCTCTCTCTCATTCCTTCTTTCCTTTCTTTCTTTCTTTGTTTTATTTTTAGCTTTTTCCTTTCGCTTAATAACTTGTGAGCCAATTCTGTGGAATAACTCCGACCTAGCCATGGGCGGCGCCATGGGCCAAGGTAGGGAGCCTGAAGCTATTCGGTTACTAAATCAAACGCCCTTTGGCAAACTCGTGGATACTTGTTGCACTTTTCGAAGATTGGTCTTCCTGTGCCCTCCTTATGCTTGTTGACATTCTCAAAGACTCAAAGAATATTTCGCTCGATTAAATATTTTAAATACTCAATTATCTAGTAAGATGAGTAATCGTCCTTTTTATTTTTATTTTAACACCTAGTTCTTCGCTATTTTGTTGAGTTTGGAAGCGAATTCTGTGATAAATTAATTCTCTGAACTTCAATTAATACGAACTACGAAAGACGACTACGACTTCGATGGAGTTAACTTAGTACAAGCCAGAGTATAATTGGAAGAAGATCTATTTGAAAACGCTTTCTCTGTTTTCAATTTCAAATGCGGGCTGTGTGTTTTATTCCAGGAATCATTCGACCTACGAGCTCAAAACTCAATACAAGATAATCGGCCGTTTATGATAAAATCGGGACGATCAACATAAAGCGTTGCGTTATGCGTGTTGATTTACATTACTACTTATCTTGACCTTCAATGGTCACGGCTCCTACATTTGTTTCGAATGAAACTATTTATTTACACTTTGAACTAAGCAAATATTTTATAGAAATTCGTTTAGAAATGCTCTTTATTTTGTCTTCATCCAAGTCGGTAAATTAATGATTATTTATTGGAGCGAATTCTCGTTAGACCTTCGCACATTTCAACATACAATCTGAGCATTGCTTCGGCTGTTTGTAATCTTGTACAGTATAATGTGTTGCGATCAATCAACTTTTTATTCAGAACGGCTTATTTAAATTACAAAACTGGCCGAACTTCCTTCAAAACTCCATTGGAATTGTTCTTTTTTTCGTCTTTTGCTATTTTTTGCTACATCTACATTGATAGTTTTCTTAAGAAGTCACTTGATCAGTAATATTAAAACTTCGCTCGATCGAGTTTATGAGATTTTATTGCTGAATATCGCCGTGACTTTGAGCTGTCTCTATGGAGAGTAAAGTCCTCCAGAGCTTGAAATCAGACTCTTTTCTTGAGTTCTAATTAAAATAGCTTTTTTCGATAACCGATGGCTCGATCTACGAGTCTTCTGAAAAATCGAAATTTTGACGTTGTACCTAATAAGCGTTTTTGTTTACTTTTTAAAATACATCAGAAAAAAGGTCTAACTAATTGAAATTTTATTTCAGGCGTTAATTTTATAATTTTACTTCAATTTGCATCTTTCCTTGATTCTTTTATTATGAATAATTCGAAGATAGAACTATGTGAGAGTGTGCGCATGCACAGTGGGCCCCCAAGGCGTCTAAAAGTGCTAGAAATATATCCCACATGGAACAACAGCATCTCGTTTCCTCATATAAATAACAAAGTGATCTATATTGTATATAAGAGCTTTGTACTTGTTACTATCGTGTAACATTCGTAATCAGATGACGTAAGACGATAGACAAACGTTTAATTATCGATCTGCTAACATCTTAGTGAGTGAGTGAGTGAGCGAGTGAGCGAGTGAGTGAGTGACACATTTGCATATTCAGACCCCTCACAATAACTCGTTTCTACGCTTCGCGTATCCACGAGTTAAAAAGGGGAAAAATCAATGTCAAGATCTTAGTGTTGCCATACAAAAAAATGTGAAGGAAAAAAAACGATCATAGAGCCACTATGTTGATTTTAAATAATAATAGAAATATGAATTAGAGTCAATTTTTCCTATTTCATTTTCACCTTTCACTTTTGTTTAAATTAGCTCCCTGTATTCCCACTGACCAATCAGCATCAAGTTTGGAATTTTCGCGCGCTTACTGCACGCTTGCCGAAAACACGTGTGTGTTTATCGTGCACTAATCGGCAGTCAATCGGCAGTTGATGTTGAGAACAGCGGAGGGCCGGAAAGAGAACGGAGAAGATATCGCAAAAGCTCTGGAACGAGCGGGCTTTCAAGGGCTTGAAAAACTAAAATTATGGACCAAAAAGGTTGAAGGTATTTCGTCTTAAATATAATTTATCAATCAATCAGTTAAGGTAGTAAAAAGACAAAGAATCGCAGCAAGGTACTCGGACTTGGCATTCGTCTGTACTAGTCGATTACTCGTCGTTACACAAAGAACTCGATTGACCAATCAGCATCAAGTCTGGATTTTCCCGCGTTTGTCGAAGACGCGTTTGTGCTTTTCGTACGCTCAGAGAAGAAAAAAAGTCCGCAAAAATAATTGAAGAAAGTTGAAGAAGCATTTTGAAGGCTAAAAAACCCTAAAATTATGGACGAAAACTACTGAAAAGGTATGTGATGAGGCGTTCGTATAGTTTGTATATTAATTAGAAAACAGGTCTTGAAGGGATTTTTTCTGTTATTTAGAGCTCCATACTTTACCTTCAACGACACCTTCAACTACTATTAGTATTAAATATAATTATTTGTTACTTGCTTTCCAATTTGTTTTCTCCCTGAATTGTTTATTTACCTAAAGCATTTTAATCGGTTTTAAAGCTATTAAAGCTTAATAATATTAACTCTTTAAGGATTACCGTACTTGGCTGCTTGAATTTATGAAGTTTTCTCCTAGCATTTTTGACTTGCAAAGATATTTTCCATACCTTCGAGTCAGTTCAAGGGAGCACATTAAAATTTTGTTTATGTAAAGAAAATTGTTGTTCTTCGTTGATCTATCGAGCGCGCGCAATCCATCATGTGACAGGCGTTCCTCGTAGTGTTTTGGTTTCGGCCGATCAGAATGGCCTACGATCGTGTAAGGAAGGGAATGACGAGTGTAATAGGAGGGAAGGGAATGACGAGTGTAATAGGAGTTGTAAGAACTTTTGTTTACACTTTAGAAAACTCTTACGTGCATGTGTTTAAGCTATTTAAAAGTTTGGACTGTAGATTCACAGTGTTTTCTAAGTATGCTTGCTAAACAACACAAACTTGGACTTTTTCTTGGATTAAGATTATGTTTTGTAGATGAATTTAATTATTGTATTTCTCGTCTGGTATATAGAGTGAAGAGCTGTGCGGGACTATCTCCAATTTTAAAAATGGTTTGGATATATATCGATATCCCGAACAAATAAAGTTGTAACAATGTTCTGAATAAGTAAAATGAGTGCTTCTCTTTTCTCTAAAGCATAACTTTTCTAATATTTCAGCGTTTATTATTTCAGCAATTGTATTTAAGTTTAACTTGAGTTATTGACAAAATGTCTTAAAAGACCTAAAAGTCTTATATAAACGATCTGTGCTTACTGCTTTTTGTATTGATTTCATTGTTCAGGATCCTATTTTAAGGGATCCAGGCATAGTTGGATTGTGCAGGGTGCAGGTCTTACGCTTAGGAACCAATGTGCTAATGTTTCATACGAATATAGCTTCAACACTCGGGCAAACAGTGCATTCCGTTTAACCCGGCGTGTCGAGTGTTCTACGAACCTATTTTATTATTTAAGCTAGAATAATGACCAATTGATCAAAGAACTACTGCGATCGGCTATGAAAATTCAGCTGCTAAACTAAAAAGTACATGTTCATGTTTGTCTGAGTTTTGCCTTTGTCTTCGTTTTTATGATACTAAATTTCTAATTGACATGCATCGTCATCGTTTTCCATTTGATAAATTTGATTGTCATATCCTCGATTTTCGGCTTTCGTTTTCTTTGTTTCCTCTTTGGAAGCACCTAAAGCTCCATCAAAAGTTAAAGAAACGATATCTTTTATTGCTGGGGACCCGGCTGAAGAAGCTGCCTCACTTGATTTGGGAAGATTGGCACCATTTTGGGGATGACGATTTTTAAGGACTTTATTGATGCCTTCGTTTGCAACTGTATTTGGGTCACCTAGCCTCGTTTTCATTTCTTCAACTTCGACATCATCATCATTTTCAAAGCTTGGGTTGTTATGTTCGCCTCGATGATCATGATCAGGTGCTACTTCCTTTTCCTTCGAATGCTGTTTATCTTCATTACTGAAGGATCGTTTTCCCACATTGGCGCTCATAGCATTCAGCTCGATTTCATTATTATCAACAACACCGACGAAAGTTGAACCATTATATTCTCCTAGATTTACTGATACACCTATAATTTCTGTTCCAGACTCCGTGTCATTAGTAATGTGCAATTGTCCACCAACTGGAGCTGGAGTACTAACATCCCCTGGTCTTTCCAGCTGGCTCTGTCTAGAGCTTGTGTCAGATAAGCTGAATTAAAAAAGAAGATAATTAGAAAATATCGATACAAATCTTTTTTCTTTCCACGTTAGGTTATTAGGACTAAATTTCTCTTTGTTCATTAATCAGAAGAAGAAAAACATCAAACTAGCACAATGTCTGTAAAAAAAGTTGGGTTTTCGTTTGTTAATCGTTGCCCATTTAATTTGGTGCTTGGTTATTCATATTATTTGTACGCCATTTATGCTTCTCACAATTAGACATAAGATCTCTAATCAAAGTATTACGAACGTTACGACGCGTATTCCCTAGAGCCAACCCAAGAGAATCGAAGTTAAAACAGTATAGTAGGAAAGTCAAATTTGTTCGTAAATTTCATCGATAAAACGCTTATTCACTTTGTGGTACTTACGATTTATTTTTTATATATTTTCCTTTCTTTCTCTTTGTTTTTATCAAAATGGCTATCGTTATGAAAATAACTCCTAAAACTACCCCAATGATCCAGGTTAAGGTGGACGTAGGGTCTTGGTGTACTTCAGAACTGCCTACAATGATCAGGCTTGATTCTATCTTGTCACGTGATGCTAGAATTGCCCCACCAGTCACGTTATCAAGTCGAACATAGATAACTTGTTTTCCCGTCCTCTTTTCATTACTGGCTACCCTTAAAGATAGATTAGCGTTCCACTGGCTTTCTGTCATTGATATGTTCCCTGACTTTGGCCATATCAAATTTGAATCAAGTGACTCATTGCTTTGAAGAGACCAATAAACTTCGATGTTTCCATTGCTGCCTTTGGAACGCTTGATAGGAAGATCTATCTCTTGTGCTCTTGTTTCAAGAAGAACAACCACATCACCGTTTGCGTCATAAACTGCGAAAGAATTTATAAATATTCAATGAATACTGAACATTGCACACAGAAGAGCTCTGTGTACTCTCATGTACTGAGCACGCGTCTCGACCGATCTGAAAGCGAGACTAATAATAAGACAATACAAAGACAGTTCTGGTAGTGTCAGAAAAATGTAAGGATAACGAAGTACTATTTTTAGGTATGAGGGTTTAAGACCAATTTGGTCTTTTAAAAGGTTATAATCGCCTACCATGGGTGTAGAGCAGTTTTCGTATGACTGTGAGAAGCTCACTGCACGGACACGGTCGTAACACGGCAAGGCATACGCAAGACCAATCACATTGCTCGAGAATTTACTCTTGATCCAATGAAATGCCCGAAACACAGCATAAACACGCGAGAGAGAAAAATCAGCCAATTAAAATTCTAGAAAACATTACGGTTACCGCACGGCACGCTTACGGCACAGATTTTCACAGTCAAGCGAAAACTGCTCTATATCATCAACAACAGCAACACAGCAAAAATCCGACCCCATCCCACCAACACTGCTACTTTCAAAATTAAACTCAGACAAATTTACCCGAAGTGTTTTTTTCAAACATTATCAATCCATTCTTTGCTTTGAACGACCAGAAGAAAGCAAACTGGGTCAAGTGACAGATATGAACAGTGAGAAGTTTGATGGTACGGTTGATGTACTGCCAGGGCTCTGGGCAAGACAGAGATGCATCGATCCTGCAATGAAGGAAAAATATCGAATAATATTTGGCGGCTACCTATTATCAAGAAAAGCAAAAGCAACATTTAATCATGTTAATACCATGTGTTATTTTTAATATCCCATAAATACAGCACAGGATTAATGTCTTCCTTATTGACTTCTTTGTTCACCACTCTTTTGTTGGCTCTCACTAAATTGTCCACATCGTAAAACATAGAGATCTTGATCGGCTTAGCAAACTTATATCCCTCTTTAATAGTGTTGTTTAAGGGCTCCATAGCTTTGATCTGGAAACTGTAATTGCCGAGCATGAATTGCTAGAAATAGAATTTAATAACGGAGTCAATAAGCACAACGCGAGAAAGGGTGTGGAAATTGGAAAAGCCCCTGCGGGCTCAAACAGCATTAAGTAGTGTTCGCTGTTTATCTTTTGCTTCTGAGGCATAAAGTCTTTAAGGGCACTATTCTATCTCCATAAGATGTCAGCCCATCAATATATTGCCAGTATATTGCCCAGTTGTATAAATCTTAATTGATTTTAGTTTCAAGGGACAATGGCCAAAAATTGCGAAATAATTATGAAGCGGATGGCAAGAGGTTTAAAATGGGGAAAATATTACAACCAAAGAAAATGATAGCTCTTAACTATTTTAGGGCTTTAACATCATGAATAATTGCTAAGCAATTTCTAAAGACTCCAAGGAAAACTGTTAGTTTCTGGAGATGCAAATACACTTGATAAATACCTTTGGTTTTGTAGTGCTAGGGTTGGAAAGAGGACCATCTTCAGATTTATTGGATGCAACGGTCTCGTCACCCAGAGTGTAACATTGAAGTTTTACTTCGCCATCTACAGCTCCTTTGGGAACTTCCAAAGTCCCATATGTTTGCCCAACGCCATCATCCTCTCTGGTTCCATCAGTTTTCACATTCACAGTGTCAAAAAAGAACGATGCTGAAGCATTCTTGTCAAACGTGTACTCAGACTTCCCAACGATTATGCCATCAGACGACATTGGCTCTGATAATATACCAGCTTTGTTGGATGCTCTTACAGTTGCAAAATACTTCTTTTTCTTCTCCAGCGTGTTGTTCTTAAACTTAGCATACCATATGGTTGTATTTACGATTTCTTCGTATTCTTTTATGTCTGTAAGACCAGGAGCGGTTCCCCAGGCCACCTCATACGAGCTTATGTCACTGTTTTCATCAGAGGCTTTGAAATATGCAAAAATGATGTCCAGGAATACCTAGAAAATATTCATCAGTTAGAAATATGTGGGGGCTCATAAAATGTACACATGGGAAGCTGAAATGATCTTTATACGACATCAAGAAAATAACATAAGGAATGGGGGACATTAAATTGAAAGGTTTAAACAAAATGCTTAACAATCACCTGGTAGTCCATGTCAGGACCAAGTACACCATCTCGTACATACTGCATGGAAGGTGGAGTAGTATCAATTGTCACACCATTAGAATGACCTGCTGAACATCTTTGAGCACCATTACATGCAACCACGGTAACATAGTACGTGTCACCTTGCTTAAAGTCCAGTCCATAATGGCTGCCATTTTGCCTATGTCCTGTGCTCTCGCACTGCCGAATGTCATCCAGCATGGGCTTTGTTCCTACACACCAAAAATGCTCTGTAATGTCGCTCTCGTTGTCAGCAAAGTCAACCCATCGAGCGTGAAGTTCGGAGGTATTATTAGTATAATCAATGTCCGTATTTTGGAAACTACGTGTGGAACACTGACTATCTTCGCCGAGCGTTTCGTTACTTGAGCAGTTAGTATTTTGGTCACTTCCTAGGCCATCATACACAGTACCTACCACTGGAGATGTTGTATCGATAATAAACGGCTCTGATTCAGATGTTGTTGACATGCCAGCACGAGTTGTCTCGACTAACTTTATGGTGTACTCGTTGACTGCACCTTCTTCGAAAAACGTACCGTTCATCTGGATTATCTTAATTCCATTGGTTTTATTGCTCACTTTCTCATTAGTAGGACACATCGAATCATTGCAAACTTTCGTAACAAAGTGTAAAGGATCATCAACAAAAGGCAACGCACACTTACGATTTTCACACACTGTACAAATTGTTGTTACACCTCCAAGAGACCTTCTGCCATCCTCGCATGTTTCGCATTTTAATGGCTGTTGTTCCACTAACGTTGAAATCTTTACTCTTTTATGGTTGAGAGAGCAATACGTGATTATATAAACTCTACCAGTTCCCGCGTCTTCATTTCGATCTGGCCATGTCAATTCTCCGGGAGTTCCAAAAACGATAGTCGAACCCTGTATTGAAACACTTGCACGTGGTACTCCATCGTCAACACGAAGTTTATTATCGCGTGAAAGAATTCTTCCTAATCCAAGACACTGACCCAAATCGTACTTGAGATGGTATGCAAAGGCGCCTTGAAATCCAATTAGTAGAACCCCATCAACACCACCTAAGGTTTGCATTCCTAGCGCTATAACAGTTCCACCATCCCTGTCCATTGAGTCAAATTTATCACTCAGCTTGATGTCTAAAGGTATTTTGTAGGAACATATTTCTCTGTATAACTTGGTACGGATTTCAAGATTTAAGATGACGATTTTTGAATGTTTCTTGGATACAAGGATCAAGACATCACTCTTTGTAAGTTTAAATGAAGGTTCTGCAAGATTCATCCCCAGAATCTTAAGATTAATTCTAAAAGCAACTTCGAAATCATCCAAAGAATATACTATCAAATAAGATGAAGACAAAACTACTAGAAAATGGTTGTTAATCGCTAGGGCTTTAGCAAATTCTGTACTGTTTTCAGTTTCTCCAAGTATTTTATTGACCTGCCAAACCCCATTTGTTACGTGGAATATCCCAACCACACCTTTGTTTTGTGCAGTTCTTCCGGTAGCTGCTATGGTGGTATTATGTAATACAGCGATTCCACCATCAAAATTTCTCCATGAAAGTATTAGCATTTTCTCAACATGCAGAGAGGAGTTATTTTTTTCATTAATTCTTAAATTGTACACGTGGAGCTTTCGCGTAGACGTTATGAGAATGCAATCTTCAGAGTGTGAAATCCCAGATATTGTTTCTGTTATAGTTATGACCTCGGAATTAAGTGATTTGTTTTGAAGAGAAAAGATAAAGACCTTGTCGATAGAGGCAACTGCTAGGTATCTCTGTTTAAGCAAAGCGACAAAAGATCCAAACATCTGGGTTGGCAAAGTAGGCTTGTAGTGGATGTCAGTCAGCATAGTGACATCATTAGATGTGTAATTGGCGCAGCATGGGCCTTGTGGACTAGCAATACCAGGTAATGTTTCCGTTTCTAAGATATTCTCAGAAGTGTTAGTAGAATTATTTCCAGAACGTACCCGGTAAAATAAAACTTTGAAATCTTGAGAACTGTCACTGAGTAATTCTGCTTTAGCTGTTTCAGTTTGATTTGTAATGTTGATGATAGAGCTTACTACCGCAAAAATGTTACTGGGCGATGAAATGTACAGTATTTCGGGAATTAAGTCACTTCTATTAAAACCCGGAAGCCGAAGATTGGGTAGCCATCGCAATCTCTCTTTTTCTGAAGAAATATCTTGAATAACGATTTTACGAGGCAAAGGACGATTTGGCTCAAAACGCACGCCATCACTACTGGCCTCACTGTAGATTTCGCCTTCATTCCAGATGCGAACAACACTACGATATTCTTTCAATGGTTTTAAGTCCAAGCTCTCGATGCTTAAATTGTTTTTCCAAAGCTCTAAATTGGTAAAATTTAGAGCAAACGGTTCTCCATTCCAAGATTTCTTGCTGTTGATTCTTGGATAGGATAGGTTAGAAAATGGTAGTGTCACAGCTACTTCAACACGCATTTTTGATTTATGTTCTGCTACGTTATCCGATATGTCCCATTTCATTCTTAAGCTTGTTGTGTTGGCCGTCCAATCAATTTCAGTATCATCATTTATATTTGACGAGTTTAAATCTTTAACGTACTGTATTCGAGGGACCCTATTTATCAAAACACATTCTTTGGATTGCATGCTATATAGCCCAACATTGTTAAATGCTTTAAATTTCGCAAATAGTTGAGAACTTGAAACTCTTTTATGAGTAAAGGCTCGGCTGCTAAGGTTTGGAGTTAATGATGTATGAGGAACGATATTGCACAGTCCTTCCTCTGTCCCGACGCACAACTCATATCTAGATATTCCACTTTCAGGATCATCGAACATATTCCATTCAAAGCCTACAAATTCTTCAGTACAATTAAACCTGAGAATCTTTTGTTCTGTCGTTTTGTTGCCCAGACTTGAATCAATAAAGGGTTCAGGTGGTGTAGTGTCTATAGTAATAGTATCTGTAATTGTTGTAGAAGTTAACCCAGCTCCATTTGTCCCTTTTACTGTTACGTAATATGATTTGCCATGTTCAAGTTCTAACTTAGTAAGGTCGTAGCTGGTATTCAGGCCAACGTTTAGGTAGTCACTGACATTGCAGTCACTTGACGTTAAACATATTTCATAGGAAAAAATCCCACTTTCAGCATCGTTAAACATTTGCCATCTATAAAATGCAATGTAAAATCAAAGAAACGCAAATCATTAAATTTTATAACTGAGGTGGGATAAATCATTTGTTGATCAAAAAACGGCATTTTCAACCTCGAGACAAAAGTTTACCTGACTTTCAGTTCAGTTTTACTTGATTGGAAGAATATGTGCTTGCTTTCTGGGCCAATCCAAGTGTGACTGCCAAAAGGCGGACTATAATCAACTGTGATCCCTTTTGACGTTGCATCTATCTTTAGGCCTGCAAAGTTTGTTGCTCTAACTATGGCAACGTACATGGCTCCACTTTCAAAATCTAGTCCTGAAAGAAAGAATAACGCAAATGATTTTTCAAAACCCGTTAAGGTCAAAAACAATTTTAGTGACACTAACTTACTTTCGAGTTACTGAAAAACGGCTTCAATTAGTACTGCTATTTTCGTAATTCTGTGTAAGATAAAGTTTAGTACCTGTTATTTGTACGCGTGTTGCATTATTAACTGAGGTATACGGCTGCGGACAGTTCGTTAGATTTCTTGCATCACATATGGCAACCTCATAACTCTGTATTCCACTTTCATTGTCAGTGAATTCTAGCCAGTGTAGATCAATGTCATTTTCGCCAAAGAGGTAGTTAACTTCATTTGTTGTGTTATCGAAAAGCACTTTTCCTTTCATTGGAGGAGTGCCGTCGATAGTAATACCGTCTGACGTAACAGTTGTAGTTTCCCCGGCTCCGTTTGTTGCTTGGACTGTTACGTATAACACTTGTCCATTTCGTACTGGTTTTTCTAAGGCTGAATGTACGTTGTGTACAGAGGGAGATATGTCACGCATTTTTGAAATCTCACAACGACCTTTCGTAGTGCCAGCACACCATGCTACTTTAATGATATCGCTTTCTGGATCCTCACAAGTTGTCCAGTGGGCTTTGACGTCGAGAGTTGAGTTTTGGAAGTGTCTCTCTTTGCCTTCCACATCACCATCGTGCAATACATGTCCTAGTAATGGAGCTGTAAAAATTGTTTTAATTAGATATCTGGATTGCTTTCTTCGAAGCATGGGTGGCGTAGCGGTGAGAGCGCTCGCCTCTCACCAATGCGACCCGGGTTCGAGTCCCGCTGAAGGCTCGAAGACTCGTGTCTCGGTAAATATTCACCGATATTAACGTCGCCTTCGGCGAATAACTGTTGAATAGTGGACTGAATAGTGGCAATTGTTAACATACCTGTAGCATCCATTAAGACCCCTACCGAAGAAACTGCATTGCTTTGAAGGCCAGCTCCGTTCTCAGCAATAACAAATACATAATACCTAGTGTTATGCTTTAGATCAATGCCTTTGAAGGAGTAATCTGTTAGATTCCCAACATCTGTAAAATTAGTAATGTGATCACATATTCCTGATAAGCCTTCTTCAAGGCAAACAAAATACTTTGATACTGAACTTTCTTTATCCCAAAATCCATGCCATCGAACTTTAATATCAGAGCTTGTAAAACGAGATACGTTCGTGTCAGTCGTGTCAAGATTGTTCACATGATAAACTTCTCCTGTATCCGGAGGAGAAAAATCGAGTACAAATCCATCAGAGGTTTTCGTTGAGCTCAGTCCTGCATTATTAGTAACTTGTGCTATAGCAATGTACTTGACTCCTTCATGAAACTCAAGGTTTGACATGCAAATTGCTAACCTTACACCAACATCCACGGAAGAAATAAGGCAATCGCTATTTGGTGTTAGGGCAGGGCAGACTGATATTTCACTTTTCTGTATGTCACTTTCCTTATCAATGACTTTCCACGCAACGCAATATTTAGCTTTGGAAGTTATAAAGTCTGTTTCTTTCAAATGATGTCTAGAGCGCAGATCTTTAACCTAGATGTTAAATGAAATCAGTCATTAGTACTAAATCACTATTCAGGAAATATTAATAGAACTTGATGAAAGGCTCACCAGTCAGGACAGGTCAACCAGTGATAATTACATATACTTTTATGATTGCAAATTTTGCTTTGCAAATCAATAATGAAAATACAAGAAGCGTGGAGGATCGTTGAACGAGAAACGTTTTCACCAATGCATACATAACATAACAAAGCATGCGTGGGTTGGAGGGGGATGGACGGTCTAAATCAGTTATTTTCTCTCGATTTACCTCTGTTATTTCGGGAGGAGTGCTGTCTATTACTACTCCGTCTGAATACAATGTCGTTTTTCCACCACCTCCGTTTACAGCAGTGACTTTGACGTAGAGAATCAACCCAGGATTGACCGGTACATCGAGTTGGTGTCCAACGTATCTGGCTTCTAAGACTAACTTTTCGTTTATGACATCACACGATCCTTTTGCAGTTCCAACACACCAGATGTATTTCTCTATTCCTGACTCTGCGTCTGTAAACTGATCCCAGTTGGCTGAAATAAAGGAGTCGTCAGCTTGATAATCGATATCTTCTTCGCCATTTCCATCTCTTATTTCTCCTCCTTTAGGGGGAGTGCTGTCAATCTTGACGCCATCGGTCGACGTATTTGCTGTATTTCCTGCCTCGTTCCAGGCTCTTACTGTTATATAATATGTGCTCATGTGTTTTAAAGTGATCTCAGAGATTTCTCCTTTTAGGAAAAGGCCAACGTTTCGATAAGGCACAATATTACACACTGATGGTTTGCTACCTACGCAAAGTTCATAATCTGTAATTCTTGAATTAAAGTTAATAAATGGTTCCCAATTAGCTGATAGGGCATTCGTTGAACTTTGAATAGAAATGTCTTTGGTAGTCTCAATGCCGTCAAACACAGACTTTGGAATCGGATAATCATTGTCTAATGTAAATGTATTAGACCAGGCTTCGCTTTGAAGGCTTACCTGGTTGTGAACTCTTACCATAAGTCTATAGCTAACACCAGGCGTCAAATCGTGATCCTTTTTTGTGAATTTATAATTCAATCCTGTGCTAATAAAGGAATCCGTGCATTGCCTCGTCGAAATAGCAAAGCAGATCGCCCATTCAAAAGCAGCTATACCACTTTCTTTATCTTCAAATCCTATGGCTACTCCCTCAATAACCTCGCCTCTCTTAAAATATTTCATTCCGTTTGTATTTCCCACTGAGACTCTTCCAATCGAAGGAGGGCTGGAATCAATAACCAAAGCTTTGGAATGTGTTCTTAAACTTAGTCCTGCTCCGTTGATGGCTTCTAAACTGACATATAAAGTTGTACCAGATGAAAAAGGCTCGTCAAAAATGTGAGTGATCGATGTGTCCTCAAGCGCGAGATGTGTCCATTCGATTACATTACATACATTGAAGAGTTTCCCAACGCAGTACTTTAAACTGGTGATTCCGCTTTGGATATCTGTAATTTTCCTCCATTGTGCTTTCAGAGACCTTCCACTGCTTTGGTATGTGCGATTTCCAATAATTGTCAAATGTATGTCATCAGAAGCAGCGGTGAAAGAGAGTTTGCTTGTAGCAGGTGGGCTAGAATCGATAGTAACTCCATCTGAAGACGACATTTGTGTCAATCCTGCACCATTTGTTGCTTCTACCATAACAAAGTAACGAAACCCTTCCCGTAGGTCTAACGACACTGAGACGTAATTTAGGAGTCCTGCAGACACCATTTTGGTCAATGAACAAGTTCCTATAAAGACAAAACATATATCGATAAAGTTTGAAATCACAAACCAAAAGCTTTGTATAACATGTCACAACGATACGTTTCGCGTTTGTGTGTGTATGTGTGTGTGTGTGTTTATATAGTAGCTAGAATTGTTCTACTTTATAATCACATCAGGGTTCGTGCTACTCATTAAACTCCCTGAAAACTCCTTGAAATTAATTCACGTTTTTAAGGGCACTGGAAAAGCTCTTGAATTTTATGATTTTAGCGAATTTCCTTGAAAACTCCTTGAATTTTTGCTTTGATCATTACTTGCATGGTTCTGAAATAGATATAGTCAGGAAGATTGGAAAATCTGAAAGTCGGCCATGTGCAACCACCGTGTAAAACCATATTTCACTGAACATACTCCTTGAAATTTCATTTTTGGGTCCTTGAAAAGTCCTTGAATTTTAAGTGGTTACCTCAGCACGAACCCTGCCACATGACATGTAAACTATCAATTTCTTTAGCTGAGGGGGAACGAGTTAATAAAATGAATTTAATATAATTTCGATAATGAAATTTTATTATAATGACATTCTAAATTTCGAGCAGATATTTTTACATTGTTTTATTTTCTATTTATTTTTGTGCCTTTAATTAGGAAAGTTGTTTGTTGGTGATGCCATTTTAAACTAGGCTTTTTATCATAAAACAATTTTAGTTTCCCTCCAATTATTCTGACATGCAATCTTGCCTTCAATGTATTTACCTTGTTTTGAACCGAGACACCATTTGTAGTGAACAATGTCGCTTTCATTATCCTCAAAACCATACCAGTGAGCTGATATTGACTGTCTGCTGGTCTGGTAGTCACGATCCTTTGTTTCTGGATCTCCATCACCAGATATTTCTCCATCTATTACAATTCCAGCCAAGGGAGGTGTCCAGTCTACTACTACTTGCTGTGAAGTTAAAGTTGTTTCTAAGCCAAGCATATTATAGCCTGATATTATCACAAAAAAATTAAGCCCCTTTGACACTGTAAAATTTAGATCTCTCATATTAACCGATCTTGTTGGTCCGTCTATTTTCTTGAAACTCAGTAAGTCGTCCTGATGGGGAAAAGTACCTGCTCCAATCCTAAAATGATTCATTCCGCTTTCTTTATCGTTCATGTCCCAAATGACGCTTGGTGCCTGGAAAGAAGTCGTATACAAGGTATCTTTGCCTAAAGCAGGAGTAATCCTTATGAATTCTCCTTCTGGATGACTTCGATCAACAACAACTCCATCAGAGGTTGCATACACATTTTCTCCCTGACTGTTGATGGCTTTGACATTGGCATAGTATGTTTTGCCTTGGAAAAGAGTGAGGTTAAAAAAGCGATGGGCTTCTGTTCTTCCACTGATAACTTGCGTGTAAGGCCATCTGCAAATATCTTTCACCGATGAATTGTGTGGATGGTCACCAATACACCATTCGTATGATGACACTCCATTTATCGGATCATCAAATCCATCCCAATGTGCCCATAATGCTCTATCATCAAGCTGGAAGTCCAGGTCTTTGTTTGAGTTTCTTGGACCATCGTTAACCAAACCAGCCGAGAATTTACCCAGTACTACTTTCATTCCTGGTGAGCAATCTGTTCTTTGTAGTCCTGCGCCATTGGTTGCTCTGATGCACACGTAGTATGTAGTATTGCCAACCAGAGTTACGTTCTTAATCTGCACACCGCCAACAGATTCGTCGAGCTGAATGTTTGTATATTTACTGTCATCCAGATTTAGAAGCGATTGCAAGTTATTTCCTGCAGCCCAGCTGTATTGAGATATTCCACTTTCTTTATCAATAAATCCCGTCCAGGATACTGCGAATGATGAACCGTGGACAACGTTGTTGTTTCTGTCATAATTTAGAGGTAGAATATATTGGGCGTAAACTAGTCCACTATTCGGTGCGGTACAATCAGTCACCACTCCATTTGATACAGCTCTGTTCAAAAGACCTACAATATTTATTGCTTCCACAGAGAAGAAATAGGTAGACCCAAGTTCTAGATCTTGCATGATGTTGAGACTTTTACTTGAAATATTGATAATTGTTAGGTTTTTGACATTTGTTTTGTCTGAACTGCTACCAAGTCCCCACTTTACAACATCAAGTCCACTTTCCTCGTCCTTGACATCCCAAAATGCAGTTAAAGAGTTGTTGCGTGGGTTGAATTTGAGCTTGAGATGCGTAAAAATCGGTGGGGTTGTATCCACTTTAACTCCTTCAGTCCAAAAAACTGAAGAGAGTTCCACAGAATTGGTAAGCTCTAGCCCAATGACATAAGTTTTGCCTGCTTCGAATTTAGGTCTTGTTCTTCTGGCAGTGATAGTGGCTGTTCCTTTATAGTTGTTGTTTTTATTTAGAGAATGAAAAGGAAGAATGAATTTTGAGGAGTGTTTTTCTTTAACTGCAAATTGAAGTTTCTTCAATTTTGTTTGGTCCGAACAGTTCCATGAAACATACAAGATGATTGCATCAGAAACAAATCGCAATCTTGATAGAAAGTCTTTATCGCCATGCCAAACGCTGTTGCAAGTAGGCGGGGTGTTATCTATTGTAAAACCATCAGTTATGACAGACGATGCGAGACCTGCACCATTATATCCTGTTATGTTTGTAAAATATGTCTTTCCAGCGTCGAGAGTTGACTCCAAGAAAAGCGTTTCTGAACTGATATTTCCTGGGAATTCAAACGGTCCTTCTTGTAAAAGGCCATCTGACTTAAGTATTATTATGTGATACATAAGGATTCCACTCTCTGCGTCGACAAACTTCCAATCAACTTTTAGTTTGTTTGTAGAGTTTTGATAGTCACCATCATCAGCAAGTCCTTGAGGAGGAGTATCATCATATATGACACCATTAGAAGTAGACGTTTTTTGAAGACCAGCATTATTTGTGCACCTGATTGTTGCAAAATATATAATACCTGATTTTAGGCTTGCCTGATATTCATACTGCATACTTGAAGCATTAACAGTTGTAAATTGCTTCACATCCGAACTTCCAGGTTGAAGACCGAATGAAACTTCAACAAGTTTTAATTTTGATTCTTCATCATCACATCGCCAAGAACATGACAGGCTTTGTACTCTAGAGTACCTTACATCTTGTCCTAAATCTGTACCGTCAGTTGTGGAAAAGATAAAGGATGGAGGAGTGATGTCAATTAATACTCCATCTGAAGATACTTTTTCACTTGGTAGGCCCAGTTTGTTTATTGCTATAACACTGGCGTAATATCGCTTAGCAGTTGCTAGTTCAGTCGTGTTCAGCCGTGTACTAGGAGCTCTTTGTACGAGTCCTACTTCAGTAAATTCTTGAATGTCTTCTTTTCCAGGCGACGTGCCAAAAGCAAGCTTGTATTGAACAATCTCTGTTTCCTCCTCAGTAAAATTTGACCAGGTGGCCCATAAAACCGAGTTTTCTTTTTGGAAATCAATATCGTTAACAGTGTTACCATCTATTACGTAACCTGGCGAGGGGGATGTGTTATCGATAACTATGCCATCAGATGTAAAGTAGGCTGCATTTTGGGCATTATCAACAACTTTAAGGCAGGCATAATAGATTGATCCAGATTTAAGATTTAGTCCAGAGAAAACGTGGTAATTCGCTTCATCTTGGGCCTTTTCTAATGGACTCACATCACATGTTGTTGCATTATGACCGCTTTTTAGCCCCACGTAAACAGAATGCACACCTGAAAAATCAGTAATTCTTTGCCAATGAACACGATATATAGACAAATAACTCTGATAGTCAATATCCATCATATCCCAACCGTCTAATACAATAACGTTCTTAGGAGGTTCCCTGTCTGAAATCAGCGCTTCTGAGAAACCACTTCCAAGCAGCCCAGCGTTATTTAAAGCATGAATAGTTATATAATATTTGCGGTTATTCTCTAATTTCGTCGAATGTTCTGCTGTCCAGTTTACTGCAACTGTGTACTGTGGTTCAGGAAGCTCAATCTTTGGTGAGCTGAATATGTCTTCTCCCCCGATGTAGGAACCAACCAAAACTTCGTAAGAAGCAATCTTTGATAAATTGTCTTTGAGTTCAAAGTAGCTTTGAAAAGTGAAATTCGTGCTTCTAGTATATTTGATTTTATCCCCACGATGTCCGTGTTGCACATCTACTATTATAGGTGGAGTACTATCAACAGTAAGAATATTTGAATGGGCAATGGATTTCATTCCGGCTTTGTCTGAAGCTTCTACAACTACAGAATATACGCCATCTTTTAAGGTAATAGCCCTGCCACTCATGCGCACTGGTCCTACTTTTTTTACTTCTGCAAGTAATTGTTCATTCGCCAACGAAGTGACCGATAACCCAAATCCACTTATACCAGAGTGGACGTCATAGAAACTATCATTAGCACACTGACTGTAGTTAAAATTGTCTGAGCTTCTTTTCTCGTCAACAGGACACCACTTCCATCGAGCCCACACTGACTTGGTTATCCACTGATATAGAAGTGGGGGTCCCTTGTTACCGGTTATTACTGTCCCGGGATGAGGAGGCATATAATCAACAACTATCCCATTGCTGCTAGCATTAGCACACCTTCCTACTGCATTACATCCAACGACTGTGGCGAAATAGCGACGTCCACTCTGAAGTATCAATCCAGTCAGAGTAACATAGTTTCTTTTTCCAACAAATGTTAACCTTTTTGTATCTGTGAGTCCGGGTTCTGTGCCAAGTCCAACATGATACTCAGCCAAACCGCTTTCTGCATCAGCGAAAGCTTGCTCCCAATGAACACTGAACGTAAAGGGTTCTTTCGTGAAATTTTTGTCACTTCCTTTCATGCCATCTTTTACCAAATAAGCATTAACAACAGGGGAGGTTGTGTCTATTGAAATACCATCAGATGATAGAGTTTCCCGAAGCCCAGCACCATTAAACACCTTAATGGTTGAGTGGTACCTTGCTTTTGGATTGATATCAAACCCGTTTATATGTACAAACATGTAGCCATCTGCCAAAACTGAAGCGTTAAATGTTTCCACATTGCTAAATGGCTTAATGTCTGCACCTCCAGGGTATGTGCCAACAGCAATAAATTGCTCGTAAATGCCACTTTCTTCATCAGCACACTTCCATTTTCCTTTTAAGCCATTCAATTTTCGAGCAAAATCTAGATCTTGTTTGTTATTTTGACTAATTACGTCCAACATCGTTTTACACAAGGGAGGACTTGTGTCAACGACAAAGCCATCTGATTCGACTTCAGTCTTCAACCCAACTGCATTAGTACCTCGCAGGACAGTTTTGTATTTTCTACCTTGCTGTAGGTTTAAACCTTCCATCAGAGGAGTTATTTGTGTAAGCGGAATAGTTGTAAATGAAATGATGTCTTTATTGTCCTGATAATGGGATATTTTCCATTCGTACTTCACTATAGGGCTTTCGTCGTCTGTAAAGGGCTGAAATCGTGCTCGCACGCGCCTTGTTGATGAAATAAAGTCAGTGTCATTTTTTCCAGACCCATCATTTAAGTAACCTGCCACAGGAGGTGTATTATCTATTACGATGCCATCACTGCACATGACTGTCTTTAATCCAATTGAATTGGTGGCAACGACCCTTGTGTAATATTTCTTGCCATGTCTTAAACTCAAGCTTGATGTCTGTATCGAGTTTGTCTCGCCAACTGGCATCAATCCGTATATGTCAACTTCACTTTCATCAAAAGTGCACTTTAAAGAGGTTGAAATACCCCATTTAATATCAATTACACTTTGTTCGCCCTCGCCATATGCAAAATTCATCCCTAGGACAAAATCCTCCAATTGGTAATCTTTGTCTTGACTCAAATCAAAGCCATCGTTTACAAAGCGTATCTGCGGCCCTTTTCGAATAGCTTTGAACATAGGGCATATGGCCAATCCGCTGTGGAGCCCCTGGTCGTTTGTTGCTCTCACACTAGCATGTACATTTCGTCTATCCATGATTGGCAGATTTCTGACGATAGTGCTCAGTGATAATCCAACGTTTGCCCTATAGTCATCATTAGAACCCTTATTTGATCCAATGTTTATCGAGTAGTGATTTATCTTTTTATCCTCACTGAAACTGTGCCACTGAATTAAGTAGCTCTTAACGCCAACCTGCCTTGCCTGGCATTTGCCTACACCAGGTGGAGATGTATCAATGTTTTGCTGACATATTCGAAATATTGTCCACTGTATTTTTGGACTTGACCAAGACCATTGACCAAATATTTGTTTGTTGCACCATCGAAAATCTATTTCTACAAAAAATAAGCCAGCTCTTAGACGATGAATACAAAGATAAAGTCTAAACCATAACGACACCTGTATTTTCAAAGGTGTCATGTCCATCCTGAGCTCAAGACAAGCTTTGAGTGGCCATTTCTTAAAATGAACCGAGATTTCGGGAATAAGGCGAGTCTGTAGAAGTGTTGCAGTGATCGTTACTCCAGCTTCAACAACATGTAGGGATACACTTGCACCAGCATGAACGTTGATATATGCTCCAGGAATGATAGCCACCTTAAGTGTTCTGTCTTTCAAACATAACTGGGCATCATGGTCTATAAAGTAGTAACCCTTTGCCCCAGCAAAAATTATAACAGTAATACCGTAAACTGGAAACGAATAGCTTAAGTCGGGAATAAATTGTATGACCCCTTTTTTTAGATTCCCTTGAAATCTCATTTTGCATGATGGTAGGCCACTGTCTGTTTCAAGATCTCTCCTTCTTCTTGTGTGGATTCTCTCAAGCTCTGTAGAGTAAACGTCGGATTCGAGAAATTGATTTTGTATACTTCGTCTTCTTAGACGCCCACATTGTATTTCACCGAAAGGAAACAATCTGCGTGGTTGAATTATCCAGTCTTTCATCACTTTAAACATCAAGCAATTTTCGAAGACACCAAATGTCATTTTTAGGATGGGTAGTTTCATTCTAAAATACCTATCTTCAAAATCCCCGCCAATAAGTTGAATTTTTTCTTTTTCGCTGTACGCTGCACTTGAAAATACGGTGAGCAAATTATCGTTACTTACAATTTGGACTGATTCTAATCCTGATGGAGTGCGGACAACCCTTGATAAGGTGTCCTCACTAATTTTACTTCTATTGGTTAAGTCATGGAACTCTAGCTTACACTGAAATCCAGCACGCATAGCACATCTTGAAACCACGACATATATTGTGTTAAACTGACGTGCTATCGCCATACCTTGAGCATCTTTTTTAATTTCCAATATCCTAATAAGTTTCAAACCACTGGAAGGCAGATTTCCGTCAGGCGATAATTTGTATCCGTATCCTTTTCCCGCAACACTATCTGTTACCCAAAGTGTCATATTGGCCTCGTCAAATGATACAGAAGTAGCGATACCTTCCACTATATAACTTTCTGATACTATAGCCCTCGACGGGGCAGAGGATGACATAGTTCCTGTTACTGATCCTATTTTTATACGATAAATCTTGTTTGTAGTGCCGCTACTGATCCAGATACTGTGCCTTGCAATTGCAATGCCCCCTATTTCGTCAGATAGTGGTTTATTAGACACCCCATGTTCTAACTGTACGATTTTCTTTACGATATCGCTACCAGGTTCGATAACAACCAGGATGGATGGTTTACCTTTATTTGTGGACACACCATGCATTCCAAGTACTATTTCCATTTTAGATAACTGTGCAATACCTTCCACCTTGTAATCATCAAATAAACCAGGAATCAGCCATCTTCCACAGTCTGTCATCGAAGAAAGGTCGTCGAGGTGGGGAAATTTCCAAGGAAAGATTGTGCTGTAATAAAGTGACGATGATCTCTTGAGAAGACGAACGCAGACATCAGCAGAACAATAAGGGTAAGCACTCCATTTTCTATATTTTGTTGAGTCAAGCCCTCTCTGACGAAGCTGAAATATATCGAGAAAGTCTTTTACCGCATTAATAAATCCATTAATAGCATTAAAAGTTTCCTTAAGTTTGAAAATGTAATTGCCGGCATTGGGCTTTAGGACATCACTAAGATGAAGTATTCCAGAAAGAAGTTTTTGAATATGGTTTGAAGAAAAGGAAGTTAAGTCCTTAAGTTTTATGGAGAAGGTAGAAGCTTCTCCAGCAATCGTACCAAGACCTTGAATTACAGAAGAGATATCCTTTATCTTCTTCAAAACTTCATACAAATTTTTCACCTTTTTTCGAACATCTTTTACGATTTCCATATGCTTCTGGATGTTTTCTATGTATATGTTTTTCATTGATTCAAAGGTGCTTTCCAATGTTGATTTTACATTTTTTTCTAATTGTCTTGCCCATGCTATGTAATCAGATGCAGGCTTTGTCATATACTTTGCCTCCAGTCCTTTACTGCTCTTATGTTCTGGTTGTCTTCCAGTAATAACTTCAAGAGCCGCTTTTACCTCTTTAACCTGGTCTAACATATAAAAGTCTTTAATTTGTTCAATAAGACTTTCAGCTGTATCAATTACCGCTGCGATGTCTACGATTCTTTTCTGGCTTGTTTCCAATAAATCAGTGTAATCCATTGCTTTTTCAAATTTTGTCTTTAAAACACCAAATTGTTTTTGGATAATCTTAGCTTGAGTGATAAATGACTTGGACAAGCGTTTGACATTGTCGCCGGTGTCAGCGTATTTCCGTGCTTTCAAAAATTTCAAGGTTTCAGGAAACATGTGATATAGAATAGCCACTTGTTTACGCAAATCTTTATATTGATTAATCACACCTTTTTTAATGTGCATTGCTGTTTTCACGCATGGCTT